GGATCATCATGAGTTTGAGGCCCCCTGGGCTACATAGTGAGTTCAAGACCACCCTGAACTACACAGTGAGACACCGTCTCAAAAAAAAAAAAATCTAAAATTTGATTATGCCCTAATTTGCTACAGTGAAACAGGTGCTTTTGTATACTGACCATAGCAGCGTAAATTGGTGCAGTTGTCACAGAGGGCAGTTTTTCAGTACCTAAATGATAACCCAACAATTGCATTCCTGGGAATTTGCTCTACAGACTTGCTTGTGCGTGTATGAAGTATATATAAGGCTGTTCAATGTGCATTGTTTGTAAAAGCAAAATAGTGGAAATAACCTAAACACCCATCGGTAGGAGGCGTGTTCAATAAACTCTGATGACACACCCAGTGGGACACTCTGATGCTATGCACATGAGGAGGCTTTTTGTACAGTGTGTCAGGAATATCTCACACTTTGGTGAGCAAATCAGAGGGTGCAGAATAGCATGGTCCAGGATGACATGTATTAAAATTTGTGCAAAACAAGGGCATAAATATGTGTACTGCCTTTTAAGAGTGTAACAACCCCTGGAACAAGAAGTAAGAAATTAACCATGAAGCCTCTCAGAAAAGTGTGAGAGCTGGTTGGAGGCTTCCTGTATACTTTTCTATATTCCTTGCTGTTGAACCACCTGATGGCGTTACTCGTTCAGAAGCTGAATAAATATTGTTAAATATGCTTATGCACCAAAAAAATTGAGAAATAAATTTGTGGTGCAAGTATACCTGAGAGAAAATGATTGGGCCAGGGATATAGCTCAGTGGCATAAGCACCTGCCTGTTTTATTTATTTATTTTTATGTTTTTGACACAGGCCCTCCCTATGCAGTTCAGGATGGCCTTGAAGTTACCATAGAGCCAAGGCAGGCCTCAAACTTTCGGTGACCATCCTGCCTCAGCCTCCCAAGTGCTAGGACTACAGGTGTGCGCCACAATGCCCAACTTTATTTTTTTATTCTGATACAGGATCTCACTAAGTTGCTCAGGCTGAACTCAAATTTGGGATTCTCCTGCCTCAGCCTCCCAGACTGCTATGTTTACAGGTACACTCCACAATGTCTGGCTTAATTTGGTTTTGGGGTTTTTATTTTGTTTTGTTCTGTGTGAGACAAGGTCTCTATGTAGTTCAGGCTGGCCTTGAACTCACTATGAAGTCCAGTTCAGGCTGGCCCTGAACGCATGGTGATCCTCCTTCCTCAGACTCTTAATTAGTTTATATATATGTATGTACGTATGTATGTATCTTTTTGAGACAGGGTCTCACTATGCAGTTCAGGCTGGCCTTGAGCTCACTTTGTAGCCCAGGCTGGTCCCAAACTCACAACAATCCCCCTGCCTCAGCTTCCTGAGTGCTGGGATTACAGGCGTGCGCCGCCACGCCCAGCAATCACCTAGGGCAGCCACGCACAGCGGGCAAAACCATCACTAAGGAATCGTGCTCTGCTGCCATCTAGCGTTTGCCCCTGCTAATAGCACCTGGAGGAGACCGACAAGTTGCCTCTAAGGAGCAACTTTCTCTCCTTTGTGTACACTGCACATCCCCACAACGCAAGGTCGTGAGTTCAGTTCCTGGTACCGAAATAATCTTTATGTGCTGCAAACATGCACTCAGAAACCGTTTTTAAAAAGGAGAACAGAAAAAGAAAGAAACAAAGGCACAAAGACCCAGGGAAGACTAACTTTATGCTTAGATTGGACGAAGAGTGGACAGAACGTGACCGGACAGAAGGCAGCAATCTAACAGAACCAGGTCTGTCTGCTCGGACTCCTCTGGGGCTCTCCGCGGAGCGTTCCTTCCTCCGGGGCGGGCCAGAATCAGAGATCTCCTTAGGTCAGCTCCTGCACAGCAGCACAGGGAAAGGTTGGGAGGTTAAAAGGCTGGGTTTCACGGCTCGCTTAGGTGGACGGGGTCACTGGTTTCTATGATCTGCCTTGGGGAAGGAAATTCTGCTGTCAAGACTGCTTCAGAGGACACAGAGAAGTGGGGGACTGGAAGACAGGCTGCGTATGAGGCTTCCAGTCTCTTTAGTTCAAGGTTCTGAGCATACTAAAGTGTCATACTTCCGGGTATTTTTTATTTTTTATTTTTTTGGTACCGGAAATTGAACTGAGGATCTTGCGCTTGCCAGGCAGGCGCTGTGCCGCTGAGTTGTATCAGTGACCCTGGGTATTGTTTTCTAAGTCCCAACACTGTCACGTGACCCTGGTCCGGGAGCCTCAGGGTCCCCTCAGACAAGGTCTCTCCTATTGTGGAGAAGCATACAGCTGTCCAATGGCACGAGGGTGGCATGAGGTGCAGGAATATGGAGCAGGTACACCTTTATTTCTGGCCTTTGCCCTGGCCCACAAACTGCCATGAAGAAATTATACCTTGTTTTTTTGGGTTTTTTTGTTTTGGTTTTTTTTTTGGTCTTTTTGAGACAGGGTCTCGCTATGCAGTTCAGGCTGGCCTTGTGCTCACTTTGTAGCCTAGGCTGGTCTTGAACTCACAACATCCTCCTGCCTCAGCCTCCCAAGTGCTAGGATTACAGGTGTGCACCACCACGTCCGGCAAGTCTTAAGAACCTTTTCTGGTAGATTTGTAATTTAGAAAGACGATTACAGTAATAATTACAAGTGAGGAACACAAGCTGGGGACGGTAGCTCATGTCTGTAGGCCCAGCTGCTCAGGAGACCGAGGCAGAGGGATCCTCTGAGTCCAGCAGTTTGAGGCCAGCGTGGGCAGCACAATGAGATCCCATGTCAAAAAAAATCAGAAAAATTAAATAAAATCCGTATCTTAATATAAATTAGGAAAATTTCAAAAAAGCAGAACAACATAAAACTTCGGGACATTTCATTTACTTCTCCGTGCTGGAGAACAGATTTTCAAACAGCTGAAGAAAGAGGAGACCCTGGGAACTTTCACAGCAAAAAATGGGGACCTTGAGTGTCCTAAGCATTTGCTCTACCACTGAGCTACACCCCCGGCCCCTCCAGTCTCTTTTTACCAATCTCATTCCACTAAAGTGTGCAGTCACCCCTCACCACCCAAACCACGCACTCCACATTACGTCTTCTGCCACCAGAGCTTGCTTCAAGCTTAACCTCCAGAGGAGAAGAGGGAGGCTGCCAATCTCAAACCCGACCCTACCGCAGGACCTCTGAGAAGCCTTCAGGCACGGCTCTGCCTCCAAGGAAATGACCGTGGCCTTCCCTTCTAAGGCCTTCAGCCCACTCGCAGTTTCTTCCTCAGGTCCAGTCGGGCCTGAGTTGTCTGAGTCTCCCACCTGCAAGACAGCACATTTCCAAACTCGCTGAGCGCGCTGCTTTGCGACTCCCTGCAGAGGGTGATGGGTGTCACTTCCCCGCTTCTCAAAAATGGGGCTGCGCTCCGCACAGCTGCTCCTTCCCCACTACCTCAGCGCTTCCTAACAGAGGGTCGCCGTGCGCAGTGGTGGGATGGGAAGTGGTCAGTGGTTACCATCCCTCACCACTTCCCGGGACCTGGGGAGCAGCTCAGCGGGCAGTTCCCTCCAGTCACAAGGGGAGGCCGGAGGGCGCCTTTGAACATGCTTGACTCCCACGGCTTGCAAGCTGGTGCTGGCTCATGGCGGGAGGGTCAGGCTTCCTCCAGAAGGAATTTGCCAGCGGGTTGCTTCAGTGTGTTCCTGACACAGTGCCAGATTCTGAATGACCAATCCAAAAACAAAACAAAAAAAAACACAAAAATTAGCAATCCAAGAGACTAAGCAGCACTACTTTTTTTTTTTTTTTCTTGGTCTTTCTGAAACTGGGTCTTGCTATGCAGTTCAGGCTGGCCCTGAGCTCACTTTGTAGCCCAGGCTGGTCTCGAACTCGCAATGATCCTCCTGCCTCAGCCTCCCAAGTGCTGGGATTATAGGTGTGCACCACCATGCCTGGTAGCAAAACCTACCATGATCTAAGCTCAGAAATCACACACTGTCACCTCTGTCTTTCCTGAGTGCAACTACCATCTCTGATTCAATATGCAAGTGAACTATCCAGAGGCACCAGTATCCAGAGGTGAGGACCACTGGGAGCTATTTTTTTTTTTTTGACAGGATCTCACTATACAGTTCAGGCTGGCCTTGAACTCTTTGTAGCCCAGGCTGATCTCGAACTCACGACAATCCTCCTGCCTCAGCCTCCCAAGTGCTGGGATTACAGGCGTGCGCCACCACATCCGGCACTGGGAGCTATTCTGAAGGCTGCCTGACACCCTGTTCCACTTTAAATGACCATTAACCTCTAATAAACACAAATTAAGAATGGCTTCATCAGACTTCTTTGGGAGACCTTTCTTTCAGTATTGGGCATTAAACCCAAGGCCTTTGCACTGAGCTACATTCCCTGCGTATTTTGACATGGGGTTTTGCTAAATTGCTTGGGATGGTTTGAACTTGGATCCACCTGCCTCGGTCTCCTAGAGTCCTGGGATTACCGGCATATGGCACCATGCCTGGGGGGAGAACTTTATCTCATTTTGCCTTTTTAGTGCTGCTGGGGATTGAACCCAGGGTCTAAAGTATGCGAAGTCTATGCTTTCTCAGACACTACACTCCAGATCCTCTTTAGGGGATGTGAGTCATTTCCTTCTTAGCTGGGACAAAACACCCAACCCAGAACTTAAAGGGGAGGTTTCCTTCAGCTCACGTTTCAGCCCAGTGTGGGCTGGCTCTAAAGAAGAAATAGCAGGGCAGGCAGCATGGCAGAGGAGGGCCGCTCAGGACAGTGAACAGGAGACAGAATGGCAAAGGAGGAGCTGAGGAGGGAGCTATGACCTTCAGGCAACACCCCAGCAAGCCGCTTCTCCTGGACAGCAAGCCGGCTACAAGGCCGTGTGATCCAACGGCCTTCCGCAGGTCCTGCTACAACTGCAGGAAGCTTCAGGAGGGCATCCGGATAGAAGCCGTAGCAAAGGACCTTTTCTATGCTAGGGATTGAACCCAGAGCCTTGTGCCTGGTAAGCAAGTGCTTCACCCTTTTTGTTTTTTAATTTTGACACAGCATTTTAGAAAATTTTTAAAAATTCATTTATTTTTTTTGAGACAGGGTCTCCCTATGCAGTTCAGGCTGGCCTTGAGCTCACTTTGTAGCCCACGCTGGGCTCAAACTCACAGGGATCCTCCTACCTCAGCCTCCCGAGTGCTGGGATTGCAGGCGTGTGCCACCACACCCCAGCTTCAGGATTTTTTTTTTTTGAGACAGGTCTCACTACATAGTTCAGGCTGGCCTTGAACTCACTATGCACTCGAGGCTAACTTCAAACTCATGGCAATTCTCCTGCCTCAGCCTCACATGAGTGCAGGGATTATAGATGTGTGACACCACACCCCGGCTCTGACACAGGATCTTGACAAACTGCTCACGCTGGCCTTGAATCTGCAATATTCCTGCCTCAGCCTGCTGAGTAGCTGGGTTTATGAGTGTGTGCCACCTTGCCCAGCTGGGGCACTTTCTGATCTTCAATTGTATATGTCATCAGACACATTCTACGTTTGTTCTTCACCATAAATGAGTCCAAGATACCCTTTGAAGGAAGACAAGGTCTGATCTTAAAGGTTCCTTTAGATTTTCAGATCTAAGTCTACATAATAGCAAAAACAAAGCCTCAGGAATATCTTTCTGGAGTTGAAATTTACAGTAGAATTTACAATTCAATGAAAAGATTCTAAGGTGAGTCATTATAAGAATCATCTGATTTATTTATTTTAGAGTAGTGATTTAAATTGAATACATTTGAGCACAGCGGACATTCGGCATGAAAAGTAGTATCAGAATGGGCATCAGAAAAATAGTAACTAATCTTACTCATAATAGCTAGAAAATATTCTTCTGTCTGATCGATTAAGTGTTACAAATCCTGAGAATGTTATTCGCTGAACAAATCAGGTAAGCCTTACAATTAAAACTTGCTTGGAAATAACCCTTTAGAAAATGCTTTGAGGTACAAATAATCTCTGTATTAAACACGAGTCTTTTACATTTTACAAAGAGTTTAAACGAATCCACCAAACGCTCCACGGTGGCTCCCGTGACACTGTCAGTCGGGCTCCAGGACACACTGCTCCACGATTTCCCGCAGGTTGGGGTTCTCCATGGCAGCTGCCACCCGCTCTTTGTCGTTTATCTGCTTGTTGACTGCAAAACACATAGAGTCAGCAGAACAGTGTCAGTAGGCAGCAGCGGACAGTACTTTATTAGCCTGTGAAAGCAAAGAATTTAACTCCGTGAGAACTTAAAGCTGTTCTGGGCTAGTTACAGTATTCACAGGGCCAGGGATACAGCTCAGTGGCACAAGCGCCTGCCTGGCAAGCACAAGGTCCTGGGTTCAATTCCCGGTACAAAAAAAAAAAAAAAAAAGAAAAGTAGGAAGATTCCCCATAACCCTCTAGTCTTCTGCCACAACTACTGTCTTTCTTTCCAGCACTGTCCACATATGTATTTCTATACAGTTACATTCCAAGAAAATAGTTTTGAAAACTGTTGTATTTCTCTGTTAGTTCTATTTTTAAAAAA